AAAAAAAAAAAAATTAAGAATAAGCACGTAAAATGGATACTCACAAACCAGATGACATCCAGAATCATCTACTGATAACTCAGCTCGCCCATCTTTTATCAGAAAGGACAGGGCAAATAGATTTTCCACAGTTTGTGCGAAGGAGTTTCGATTCAATATCAAATTTTCAAGCATGACTTTCCTCTTTCTCCTCAGAATATCAAACATAGTAGCCATGTTCTTATCAGTATCAGTTTTTTCCTTATTAGCATTTTCATCGAGCTGCAACACAAAATAGAATCGAAAAATTAAATTCTATCAGATATCTGCAAATTGCTCACTGTGTGTAGGGAGGTCGTTCTCTACACAAGCAACAACCTTTTCCAAGTAAAATAAATATCTAAATTTTGTGTATGATATCACATTTTTTTATTATTTGTCCTCCAAAAGATAATGCAGCAAGATATAAAATAGCCACAAAAAGGCAGAAAATGGACCTCTTCAGGGTGTTCATTTTCTGTTGGTCTTGCACGCTTTCTATGAACTGCAATCTTACGCTGTTTCAGCTCAGTGTTCATGGGCCCAATCCTGCAAAGCAAGAAAGACAAAAAATAAAAGAATTATACCATGCTTATTCATGAAAGAGAACAAAAAATGAGAAAGGTTGGAATAGTTATTACATCGTGCAGCAACCAGGAGCGCTCCTGAAAATATGAGAGACCACTTGCCCGATATCTTTCCAGCATATCAAACTCCTGCCCTCATTCTGGCTACTGCTTGGTCCACCATCTTGCGCGAACTCCCTGATAAGACAACTAACTAAATCTGAAGGTGTCACGCCTTCATTGTTAAATGCTTTGACAGAGGTCACCAATGTGTTTGTAATGTCAAACAGAGCTTCAGCATCTGCTACTTGTTCCCTGGGCTTTTGAACTGAATGAAAATCAAAGAAAATGTGAGAGGCATTGCATATGCTGGATACATTAGAAGGTGAAATTAAAACACTGCAATAGAAGTATTATTATAATTTCTGCAAGTTAATACGGTTGTCAAAAGATCATATAAAAAAATAATGGGGTATTTCCACATCCTAGGCCTTCCTGTTTCTTCATGTAACATTCAGAATTTTGGATAAGAAACTATAAAACTTGATGACCGTTGATAAGACTTCGGACCATTGGAACAATTTGGCTGATTCTTTTATTGTTAGAACTTAGTGGCCCCGCATCTTCATGCAAACACTTACTACATATGGAAAAGTAGAACACGCACACACACATACACACTAGAGTAGACTACTTAGAAAGAGAAATAAAGAAAATTAACATCTGAAGAAAAGAGCTCCTCGGAAATAATACCTAGCTGGTGCAAGCTATCAACTTCTTCAATCATTGATTTGAACTTATCTGAATCAACTTTTGATAAATCATCTCTCTCATCTGCATAGAGAAGGAAAGGTTAACTTATCATACGAGCATAGAATTTTCGAAACTAAAATATTCATCCATACAAATTGGAATTGAAAAGGCACACTTTCTCATGGAAACGATGCTCCTCTTTTTCCCACATTCAATGACAAAGATTCAACCTTTGTATAAGAAACTCCATATAAAGTTCATCATGCAATATACTAAAAAACAAAAATAAAGCATACACACTGCTAATTGAATGTTCTAAGCTGCTCAAATGCGACTCAACATACATTGTTCAAAACCTTCCTCAGCTACAACACTACAGAAGTAGAACACACCCCACATACAGACAACAAGTTCCAAATAAAACTCACAAAATCCTTTCAAAAAGACCAAATTCGTTCACCGCAAGCTTTACGAATCCAAAAATGCCAAAACCAACACAAAACGAAATAACTCAAATTACCGCTAATCCGATTCTTAAATCTGAGGTACTTCGAACGAAGAACTCTGCGTTTGACGGTGCTATCTTCAGCTTCGCTGTTCTCGTCTGCACCTTGTCCGCCATTGTTGTTCTGCGCACTGCTTCGAGTAACACGACTGCTGCCTTTAACCATCTCCCTCTTCACCGCTCGCACCATTGCTTATGCTCCGGTTATTCAAAAACAATTAGGGCTCAGCTGATGAGAGAATAAAAAAAAATGGGGGGAGAAATAAGCGGAGATCAAATACTGTAACCCTAGATTGAAGGCAAAATTTTTTGAATTTTTTCTAAACCCGCTCGAGATATATATATTATATTATTTATTCAATTTTTTTTTTTCTAACCAATTATTAATTTATTATTTTACACCTATCAAATTAAACTATTTTTAACATTAATTATTGGAGACACAATTTCTTAATCTTCGTTTTCCATGTCATGCAACACTAAATGGATAATATATCATTGAAGATGCTCGTATGTGGCTACGAAACTTACTAGAAGAACTATATAGAAATCGGACTCTTGGGAGAAAATATTACACATTTGGAACAAAATTTTAAGTGTTTGTTGTTAGGCAAAACAGGATCACATAATTTTAATTTTTTGGCACAATCAATATTAGGTGCAGAGATTAATACCAACGCGTATTTGTTATGTGTGATTCAACAAAAATTATCAAATTTTATATTTTGAACATGAATTTCATCTCTATATATAATAAAAAATCCAAAATTTTTTCTGTATGGTGGATGTATCAATTTTGTATGTTTCGAGATAATTTATGTATTTTCCAACTTAATTATGAAAAGTTTTTTTAATTCAAGTATGTATCAGTTTTGTATGCTTCAAGATAATTTATGAGAAAACATTCCTGCATTGCATGCATCAACCAATATATAAACTTTTTCACCAGTATTCCCTTAAAAATTGCAAGTACATTGTTCTAGCCACAAATATAAAGCAGCAAATAGAACACTACTGCTTGCAAGAATACAATACTACACTAAAACCCTACTCCATGCACAAGCTTAATATTATACATATATCCCCTCAAAACATCTACTATTCTACATTTTCTGTTCACCACATAGCCGAGAGCTTTTTAACCTTTCCCAAACAAGAAATACATCCATCACTCATAAAATCAGCTCCCGAAACATTTTTTTTTCGTTCTTTCGATTATACTCTCCACCCGACAGCTCGGCAATCACTTTTTTTGCCCAGCCTCAAGTACTCAACACTTTCATCGACTGCAAGCTTTCTTTGTTTCTCTTTTCCCGATATTTAGTCATTTTCAAAAAAAACATGGCCATTTTCAGCCACTCTATTTTGAAACTAGTGAAGTGACTTCTATCATCCATGTTCTTTTTTACCCTATATCCGTGAAGTGGGGTAAAATTGATAGATCTTCAAGCTCGGAATTTAAATATGGCTGGACGTTGGATGAGTAAGCAGCTTCTAAGTTGCCATTCATTTCGAGCAGCCAATCAGATTCAAGCATCCGAGCTTGTGGAAAGAAGGATGGCTGCTTGTCAAAGTATGAAAATGTGTCGTCTGGCATCATTGCCGCCATTTGCTGGAATACTTCACGAGCTGTTGGTGAATGCATATGAGTTGGTTCTTTAGTAACTCGTCTGGATTTTGACTTGGAAGGTTTTAACGTCTCTGAAAGAGGGAGCTTGTGTTTCCCCAAACATAGAGATTCACTTTCCGGTTGAGACCCTAATGTTCTGCAAATAAAAAGCAAACTATCAGAATCGCAACCTAAGGGTACGAATGGATGAGCAGCAATTCAGCCTTTCATTATTAGAAAGAATAATGTGGAAATTTATTCGAAACAATGAATATAGATTAAAGTATGTGATTGCTTGTGAGAGATGAGATGGTACTATGATTATAATTCATTTTTATTTTTTTTTTAATTTTATTTTTCAAAAGATTATAGTTTATTGTTAATCATGAGTACAAGGAATACTTTCTGAAACTCATATGCAAGATAAAGGTAATTTAATACCTAAACTGCCTCGTGACCAGACCACGGGAAGATTTCAAATGGCTTTCTTCAACAGAAATTGTCTTCAAAGAGAGATTGGGGTCCGGCCCAAAAATCAAAACATTAACAGCTGCCGGAAGGGGAAAATCGTCATCCCTGTTTCCCTTTATTTCAAGGGTTACATCCAAACGCTCTTTTACTGCGAAAAGTTCCTCCTCGTTAGAAATGGGTAAGTTGTCGTGATTTAGATGAGTGGCATTACTATCCAGAGCAGCCGCGACTAACTTCCCACACTCGTGCAAATTAGTAAATTCCAACCTTTCAGGCAAATTCTGATGGTTGCTTGTAGAATCATAAAGCTTTCGAGAAGGATAAAATCCATTTTGCAAAGATGGATCATTGTTTTTACAATTGGTGCGTGATTTATCCTTCCAAGCAGCAGAAAGCAGGGATAGAAAATGCCGCTGAAGAAGGGTGTCATGGTCTGGTAGTTCAGAAGAAATGCCGAACACCACTTGGATATTATCCTATCAATTTACCATAAAAAATACAGAGATGATCATTATAGCATAAATCCAAGTTAAGCACGGAAAATGCAGTACAAAATATAGTTTGGATCAAGAATATCCCAGCGGAATGTGAAGAAGTTCCCAGATAAACCACAACCTATGAAATATAAATAGTGCAAAACAGCTGCATAATTTCTCAACAAACAGATAGTACGAAAGGCTGAAAAAAAAAAAAAAAAATCAAAGAAGCAGTTAATTGATTATTGATTACAACCACACCAGTGCCTATTTCCAGTCAAACTTAATGTTGAAAAGATTAATCATAAGATTGATTGGAGAAATTTGGTCTGTTTTTCCAAATGAGTTCAAATTTAGCGAATGGCACCATAAAGTGTAATTTGTGTGTTTCATATTCGATATCTACAAAATATAATGGCTTCAAACTGAAAGTACCTCAGAAACTCTAAGCAGAGCCTTCCCAGACACAGCACCAACACTTTTTTCATTATTTGTGCCATCACTAACAGTGAAAACATATCTCTGTATTAGCTCCCTAAACCTCTGAGAGCAATGCACAGGATAACGAAACCTTCCACGATACGACCCACCGGCCACCAATCCATACAAAATTTCACTCGCCAAGTTCCAATTTGGGCCATACTCATGAACAACCCCACATAACAACGCATCTTCTTTCGGCGACCAGATATCAGGAGAAGGAGTAAAATCTTTGGACCAAACGGCTCCTTTCTTTTTGGACTTGTCCGGTTTTATAGTGAAAAATCTTTTCAGAGGCATGACAGGTATTGTAAGTTTCCCTTGCGCCTTATTCTTAATTATTTGCTTCGATTCGAGATCAACGACACCATTATCACAGACTTTTGAGTCTTTGGGAACGTTTTGATTTTTGCTAGAAGGCTTGGGATACATGAGAATGTTCCCCAGTTCAGAGGCTTTCAACTGTTTGTGCTTCTTCTTCCTGCCCCTTGGCTCATCATCATCATCCTCTGAAGAAGGTCTATGTCTTTTTTCCCGAGGCGAAGAAGGGGATAAAGCATCCGAGGATGTAATAAACTCGTCATGGATTAAAGCATCGTCTATGGACATTGTATCTACTGAAGACTCTTCCTTAAGAGAGATGGATTTAGAAACCAGAGCTGCTTTCTTTAATGATCTAAACTTGGCTTTTTTCGGTTTCTTCTTCTTTGACTTGGGTTTAGAAGCCACTGTGGTATAGTTCCTGCTTTCCAAAAGTAAAGATTAATGCTATAGCAGCAGGAGATTACTAAATTGATATAATTGATATATAGTGAAATCTGATCTTTCAAACTTTATACTAAAAATGCTATATCAGTTGATAAAAGATTCAAAGAACAAGATAGTTTATGAGAATAATTGATTTCATTCCTACACTGGCTTGTCCTTGGATGATGATCGAGTCAATAATCTAACCAATAAGAAAAACCAATCTTATGTAAAGTAACAATCTAACAACAATACTTGTAACATCAGTATTAATAGAATATGTGTGCACCATAGCCAATATCAGAATTTCAGTCTCAATTAATTCATCATTGTCCTGACCTACTTTTGTTTTACGTTCAATCAACCCCCACCCCCATCTATATCTTTCAATCCACTCAGAGAAGATACAGATCATATCTTTCAATTTTCAGTACAACCCTTCACTCAGCTATTAAATATAAGTAATAGCACACATGATTCCTCACATGTCTATTATTTTAGTAGGTTTGACGATCATTTTAGCCACTGCTCCTCCTATTGAGCATCACTTACAACAAATGCCTTCATCAGGCCAAATGACTTGAACTACAAATATTTTAGTGCCAACCTTCTCAGCAGTCCCAATTCCAGAAAATACAAAGCATTTCAATAGGCAAAACAAATTAACGAGAGAATAGATCAAAAAAAATTTGAATGGCACAAACCTCGGAGAATCAGAATTTGCACACACTAAACCCTCCTTCTGCCGGGCTTCACGTTCCAAATCTTCAATCATCTATAAAGTAATAGCTATCCATTAAATACTGTGGGTGAAATCTAGTGGTGAAGATATGTATCATGCTCTAATTTGTGGAACAGAAAGACATTATTTATTGACAGTCTAAAATGATATCTTTAAGTTGGAGATTCAAACCTGATGCTGAGCTAGTGCTTCAACTTGTTGTTTGTACACTTCAGTAGCAAAATCGGCATCCCAGCCTGAGCAAAATTAGGAAAAATGGAGATAAGGAGGGTGAAGGACAAAAAGAAAAGAACACAAGGGAAAGGGAGAGAAAAGAATCAGAGACACGAAGCAAAAAAATTATTACATCATCAAGGATCCGGGAAACTGTCAAAATCAACACAACGCACACATCGATGGCACAAAAGCAAAAAATATATTACATACGAAGTAAGTTAGACAAATATTTCGTATGCAAGTGACACTTGGAAACTGAAATGTAGATCCGTGACAGTTCAAGCATATTTAGCCTAATATTTATTAGTTCTAACGAGAATGGCAAGATGTAAGAAAATGATCAAATGAGATATGAGTTGCGTCAAGGAAGAACATACATTCATACACCAAAGGTTCTTCATCATCGTCAATCTCAGCTTCCATATCATCTTTCAACTTCTCGATTTGCTCCAGTTCCCATTCAGTTTCCTCAATCTGAGTATGGGATTCAACTGCAGTCTTGTCGATAATTGGGTCCCATAGTTCGAGGAAACGTACTGCATATCGATCAATTGGACGCAGTTGATTCTCAAAAGACAAGGCTGCATGTCCTGCTGCGGCAGCAGCTGCAGCCATCTGTTTGACGTCAGCAAGCATATCAACATCATCTTCTTTACCATGTAAAACCAGGGCTCCTTCCTCGACTAATTGACTTCCACTTGCTTCATTGCCTTCATCTGATTTCACAATCATGGCAGTTGGTTCAGCCCGACCATCATGCTTCATTTCCTCTTCGTTAGCAAGTTCATCATCCTCGAGTCTCCCAACAGCTTCGTCAGTGAATTCTTGATTATCCACAGCCTCTTCTTCTTCAACTTTCTTAAGCGCCATGTAGTCTGCTTCATCTTCAGCATTCTTCAAAGCAGCCTCTAAATCAACACTAGACAAGGTGACATCACCAGCACTGTTAGATGGTTTCTCATTTGCTGTATCCTTTGGGGCTACTGTTGTGTGCCCAGAGAACAACTCCATTGGATCCAGTTTCTTGAAGAATTCAGTGTTGTAGTTTCCACTTTGTATAACCAAATCGTCCAGGGCTCGCTTTTGGTTAGCTTTTTTCAAGATATTCTCTTCAATGGTGCTCTCAGTGATCAATCGGTAGATGTGCACTTCGCGAGTCTGCCCTATTCTGTGACACCTATCTTGCGCCTGTTGATCCATGGCTGGGTTCCAGTCACTGTCATAAAAGATGACAGTATCTGCCCCGACTAGGTTTATGCCGACACCCCCGCTTCGTGTTGACAAAATAAAGAGAAATATTTTAGGGTTTGTATTAAACCGCTGCATGAGTGTTTGCCTCTCTTCAGGCTGAGTGGAACCATCTAAACGCATGTAAGTGTAACCATATAAATTAATGAACGCCTCCAGAACATCGAGCATCTTTGTCATTTGTGTGAAAATCAAAACCCTGTGACCTTCTGATTTAAGCCGCCTCAGCAGAACCGCCAGCCCTTGCAGCTTACCGCAGTCGAACTGGATAAGTCTTCGATCTGGAAAGTAAACTTGACGTCGAACAATAGCCGGGCGAAATGGAGTAAGAAGAGGGGAAAAAGCTCGATACCATGAGTCCTTAAACGTTTGCTGAATTAACACAGTTGATCCACCTTTACTGCACCAACTAACTGGTGGAGGAGCACGTGCAGCGGGTATTGCAAACATGAAGCTTTCAACATGAGCAACCATCTTACTGAATCTTTCAACAGGCGATAGCACAATGTCAGCAAGCTTTGATGAGCACTGATAAGACAAAGAATAATAATGCTTCTGATATTGAATATCATGGACAGGATGTCTAATAGTGACAAGCTCCCTGAGGTCAGTGGCATACACGGGTTTTCTCTTGCACCTCAAAGAATTCCACCGGGCAACAGCTGCTGTTCGCTCCTTTACTTCTTTCAATCTCTCATTCCACAGTGCCTTTTGGATCTCTTCAAAAATATTTGTCGAGTGCGGCCTTTTCTTATGTGTAAGTCCAGTCCAATCCTCCTCCAGATTAACCAGGCAAGCACGTTGCTCTATAAAGCTTGAAGGTGTAGCAATAGCTAGAGTCTCGTCACTCTCCCAAGACGTCATCGAGAAATCCAGATGTGTGAATACAAAACCAAGACCACTAAGGTCAATAGTTGAAAATGGCTCAGGTGCAAGCATCGTGCAAACAGAAGAGCTCAGTTGCATGTCTATACCACTCATATCAAAAGAGCTGACAATTGGCCGACCTTCAAATAAATCAGGATGATTGCAGACTTTACGAAGTTGCATGATAACACTAATCATTCCGAAAAAATTAGTGCTGGCTAGAGTAGCCTGTGTCTCGGAGCTAGCGATGAAGTCCTCGTATAAGTTGCGCTGCCTTCTCGAGAGCCTACAGTAGATAACATGCTCGTGTTTCAGAGGGAGCTGTTTCTCGACGTCCCTTTTCAATCTGCGAAGTATGAACGGGCGCAGAACATTATGCAGCCTATCAACTACTTCCTTGTTTACTTTCTCTTGCCCCTCCACCATAACAGATATTGGACTGCTGAACCAATCCTTAAATTCTTGGTGAGACTGGAAAATATGAGGCATCAAGAAATGCATTAGAGACCAAAGTTCCATAAGATCATTCTGCAGTGGTGTACCCGTCAGGAGAATACGCCTTTTCGAGTTGAAATTAAGCAGTGTTTGCCACCTTTGGGACTTCCAATTCTTTATCAGATGTGCTTCATCTAGGATCAGGTATTTCCACTTCTTCCGCTTGAAAATTTTAGAATCCTGGATGACAAGCCTATATGTAGTTATGCAAACATGAAATGAATTAGGCTTCATCCATCCTTGCCGCTTTATCTTCCTCTCTTTAGCACTTCCAAAGTAAGTCAGTATTTTGAAAGCGGGACACCATTTTAGGAACTCGGTCTCCCAATTAAGCATCACACTTGTTGGGACCACAATAAGATGAGGACCCCATATTCCCTTCTCACAAGCAAGATGAGCTAGTAGAGAAATTGTCATGATTGTCTTTCCCAAGCCCATCTCATCAGCTAGTATACCGTTGAGTCTCTTCTCAAACATGGTCACAAGCCAATCCAAGCCAATGTGTTGATATTCACGAAGAGCATACTTCAAAAGAAAGGGGAACTTCGTCCGTACTTCTGTTGTCGAGAATGTATTACCAGTCGGTTGTGCTGACCTGGCAACTGCTGCTGCATCAGCAATTATACTCTCACTCTCTGTATCTTCTCTACACTTGTGTGGACAATCAGCTTCATCTATTTCTACATGAGAACTTACATCCAGCTGGAATCCATTAGATTCATCGTCATGATGCTTCAGTTCAGAGCTTCTTCTTTCTGCAGAACTCAAATATGCTTCTGAATCAGAACTCGACAAGGACTCAAAGTCATCTTCCACATCTTCATCGCTGTCACGACCCTAATTAAGAGCAATGAACATCAGTATCTGGCTCACAGTCCACGAAAACAAAACAGAGCACCATTCAGCATACCTTTTTATACCTTTCAAGCAGCTCCTCTATGGAAACTTCACTTTCCTTCTGCAGAATTGCAATCTGGAAAAAGCTTATCATTATTATCAAGATCGAAATATCAGGTGGCACGTGCATGTGCACATTTTGCAGCCTAAATCAAAGGACGAAACTGAAATTAGATCTACCAAATTATATGCAAAACATCCAGAAAGAAGTTAGTAATACATGATCTAACCTCATCTTCAGCATGGTTTGACTCTGCCTTTGCTAATTCTTCCTCCTGTACAAGGGTTGTCTCATCGTCCTGGATAGCAACAGCAGGTATCAATAAAGACAAATAAAAGATACAGACAATTTTCTTGTTGAGTGAAGATGACAATATGGCATACGAATTAAAAAACGAGAAAAGTAAATAACACAAGATTTACGTGGTTCGGCAATGTGCCTACGTCCACGGCGGCTGAGGGATCTTTATTATTCTCAATAGTCACAAATACATCAATACACCATGTATTTATACTATAACCCTACAAGGTATTAATTTACTTAAATACCCTCCACTCCGCTCACTTCGCTCGGTCGCTCCGCTTCCCTCGCTACGTTCGCTGCGTTACGCTCGCAGGATCAATATTTAAATTAAAAAGTACATAGAGTGTGCAATATTTGATACTTGCAGCCGCAAGGTAGAGAGGCAGATACTCATAAATTAAGCACACACTTCATCTGATGATTAAAGTTTATCGCTCAGATTCAGAAATTTTGCAGGAGAAAGATGTAACATAATAGGATGATCGCATGCCATTACAAAAGAAATTGAAATGCTTGATAATGGAGAAAGAAACATGGCCAACACTAACAACAATATTCCTACCATATCATATTCCTTTTCCTCTTCAGCAGAAAGCATAAAATCATCATCTTCCTACAGAGAATTAAGGTAACGTGAGATGCATTCATCATAAGCTTAAACAAATCCAATGATCAAAAGGTTAAATGTCAGATATGAAGTAGCAACTACCGAATCAGGTACACTAAGTTGCTATATAAATTGAACTCACATACTTGTTCATCTTTGAACTCATGCATTATCTGTTTTTTCTCTGACTGAAGAGGTTTCTTTAATGAGTTTCTCCTTTTGTATTTCTTAAACTCATAACAGTGGTTCTCCGACACGGACACACCATTACTTTCAACCTACATAAATCAAAAGAGAACATTATGTTGAGTATTAGACATTCATTACAATAGGCCTTAATACACAAACACATACAACTTACACAACGACGACCAGATTCTGGGGGTAAACTAGACTCTGTCTTCATCTCCGGGATCAATTCGGCATCTTTTTTTCCTAAAAAAAAAGAAGTCTGTTAGAAAGGAACTTGACAAGAAGCAACTGGCTTATATATCAAGCTGCTATGCCCTTACCATTATACTCTTTAAGCTTGGTTGCTCCAGGAATTTTAACGTCATTGGCAGGAATTATTTCTCTGCTCACTGAGCAAACATTCATATTAATTAACAGTAGTCTGGCAAAGCACTAGTGCTAGATAGGAATCACATAAATATATCCCATTAACACATAACAAATTTCATTGGACTAGACAACGTTTTCCAAGCTTCATTTCTGACGCAAAGACCACTTTCTTTTTATCTTATGAGAGGACAAGAAGTTTCCAGAAAGAAGGTAGAAAGTGGAAAGGAGAAGAGGGAAAAAAAAAAAAAAAAGAAAAGATACAACACCAAAAATGACTGCTATGTTAGAGTTGCACCAGTCAGGAATATGTAACAAATGATTATACGCCCATGTGAATATGTTGCTCTAAATCTGACTAAAACGAGCACTAAAGCCTATACAGAACCACACAAAGTTCGTTTTCATATCCAAGAAAAACATGCAATCAATGTACACCAAGAAGGTGACTGCATTCAAAAGACAAATCAGTTTAACAGACAGCATCACTTTTCCATTTGACAATGACATTGATTTGTGGACTTGTAGTAGCTTCTCCAAATGGAATCTGGCAAAAATATTCATACATCAATTGGTATACCAATGAGTTTACCTTCTGTGGATGCATATCGCTTGAGTATCTCCTCAAGAGGTAAATCGACTTCGTTCTGTAATGCTGCTAATTCCTCTTCCCTCTCTTCTTTAGTGATGAGAGCCTCATCTTCCTCAATGGTACGCTCGTCATCTTCCTAAAGTCAACAAAAGAGTTCTGTATAAGGACAGATACATTATAAAGATATACATATCCTCAATAGAACAAGATCGTTGTAAGAAACGGAAAACTGCATACTGATTAATGCATATAGCCTCGACATGAACTCAATCTTCCACAATAATAAGACTTAAAACATCAAGATGACTAACAAATATTACAAGCAATAGCATCAGCAAAGAAATTACACACTTATCCGCAATGAGCCTCGAGGAAAATCATAAAATAGTATTAAATAAAATGCATGACTACAAAAAATTCCAAATTCATCCAAGCCTGAGAACTCGTCTATATGGACCATATATCAGTCTTGGAATTTCTAGACAAAGGACTCTAAGGGAAAACCCCACAACTAAGTTAAAGCTCAATCAGCCAACAAGATACTAGAGATAAACCAAGTGGAAGTTCAATTCTATTAAAATAACTTCACAGCTCCAATCATTCACGGTTCCTTATTTCCAATTGCCTAACAAAGTCTAGCATACAAGGCTTAGAAGTTCAAAGAATGCTAAGTGCATATGAGAGTGAAAACTTACTGATTCATCACCAGAATGCAAATCATAGTCTTCATCTGCAGCAGTAGGAAGATCTGAATGGGATCCTAGCATTTCAAGTAGTCAAGTACATTAAAAAATCACACTAAGTTACTAAACAGCAGAATTAATATATATGTGTGTGTGTGTGTGTCTGTGAAAGTATGACTATTTACCGGTATCCGATTCAGATTCTCTTCGATTAGTGTCATCACCTTCTTCCTGATGATTGCCAGTTTCAGCTTGAGTAGTGCAAGCGTTAGACGGCTTGCAAGAAGTTGGTGAGATGACAAGGTTCTCAGCAAGCATTGATGAGTACCTGTAAGAAGATAGGAGGAGCCACCCATATTTCATAGAGGTGAAGTGAATAAAACATTCAGTTTGAAAGGAGGAAGGAAAAAAAATAATCTTTCGATATCAACAACTGCTTTTTATAGAAGATTGAAAGTTTGATAACAATAAGACTAGGCAGATAAAACATGATACGGATACCTTTCAGTTTGCCCAAGAAGGAACTCAAGCTGTTTATCAAGTGATTTCTTCTTCTTCTCATCAAGCTCTAACTGATGCTTGTATAGAACCTGTATCAACCATGACAATGGAATTTTGAGTCACAGAATGTCTTAACAGCATAAGTTTTAATAAGCATCATTTTTTCTAATGACTTGCCAGCTTCTCTATTTTTGACCAGAATTTCTTGACATCCTTGGACACATTCAGTGCTACTTTTCTTAACTTCTGCTCCTCTTCCTGATCAATTTTACAATTAAGAATCAGAAACTAGCAGACCGAAAATATTATGTCTAACATAGTGCTAATAATGGACTAGATCAAAATGGCTCGATTTAATTCTAGTGCTTCTTCTATTAGTGAAGTTTCTAGAAAAAAAATATATCAAACGACGCAATGCACCTTGGGTCGCTACAGAAACAGCCTCCTTGTATAATTACAAGGGTAA